GTTTCTAAGGCCAAATGGAGATACCCTTTAGACTTAGCAAATTCTCAGTCTTCATAAGTCTTGATACAGCCTGCAGGATTCTTTGTCAAGCAAATGCTCTTGTTATTACTTATTGAAATAATTTGGAATCTAATCTGATATAGAAGGCAAGGAAGGCGGAAATACATAAAGCATGAGACACATGGTTTTCTGGAAAGTTGAGAGGTAGGCAACTAACACTAAATTGTGTGAGTTTAGATTTTAATGCTTTTCCTAAGTAGAAATGGTCCTGCAGTTGATAACATGCATGTATTTGGCTACAGGGCTTTGGTGTTTGACTAAATAGAGGACTGGAGATGGATGAAATGGCAGAGTTGTTGGAATTGAATCAGTATGAGTTCAGGATCCCTAGTTATGTATGAAAAAGGTCACATCAGCAGTAGTGGATGTTACTGGTGTGGATGACTTCCTATGTGGTGGAGCTTTGAATATCCCAATGTATAAAGGCAAGAACAAAAGGTAGAATAAGCAGTGAATGTGAAAGATGAGATTTTGTGCACAGATAGTTTTGTATAGACAATTTTCTATGAACATATAATAAAATATTCCTTGTGAAAATTATATGATGAAATAGTTTTAAATGGATAATATGCTGAAGTATACAATTTCATTTATAAGATTCCTTGCTTTGGTAATGTGATTCAGTTACACAACCTCAGAAACAAGATCGTCAGGATAATAACATAATAGACAGGGAGAGAGAGTATTATAAGAAGGAAATCCAGAGTGAGTGATGAGACCTGTGATGCCATCTCACTAGGTTTTATCTTCTCATGCTATCTCCATTTTAACATGATTACCCTAGGAGCTAAAGTTTTAAACTATTAAAGTTAGGGAAAGAAAGGAAATTCAATCATAGCAATTTAAGTCCACATCACATGTACTAATTTTGTTGCAATGAAAGCAAGTAAAGATTGTTTGTTACATTATAATAACATATATAAAAATTTGTGAATATTCTCAAAAAGAGTTTATATACAAAATAGTGTTTGGTAATCTCAGTCACCATGTGCCCATTGATTTCCATTTTGACAAAGGCAGTAATATAAAGAAGAATACTTCCTGAGTAGATAAATCCTTAACAGTGCTTGAATAAGTTTTCAGTCTTAGTGCAGTAAGAAATTACTTGGCAGAATTATCTTAAGAATGGAAGTGTTTACTGTTTTAATTGCTCAAAGGTACAGTTTGTCTTGATTGGGAAGTCATGTGACAGGATCATGAGGCAGCCTGTTAAACCATATCTGTAGAAAAATATGACTGACAAATATGAATGTTGCTGCTCAGCTCATGTTCTCCATTTTATTCAGTTCTGGAAACAAGCCAATGAAGTATTGCCTCCTACACCATTCAGTCTACCATAAACCAATCCATATAGAAAATACTGAATAGATATTGTTGGCATTTTCTTATAATATTTATTATAACTCCAATCCAGATGACAATAAACATTAATTGCTATAACCACCTTGGTTTTTCAGTAAAGTTCCTTTGCCTAAGTAAGATCCTTCAAACTACATTAAAATTAAACCTTACAAGATGACATCCACTAGTACCCACCAGCTGTACAGGCTAGCAGAAATTTTTTGATTGGAGTCTATCATCTATCTGGGCTGAGAAATTCAACACTCAAAGATTCCATACACCCTGGTCATGATCCATTTTAGAACCTGAGAAGGAATGTTGCTGTTATATCAGGGCATGTCAAAGAAAAGGTTGGAGGAAGGAACTTCTGGGATGATTTGATGAACAGTCTACTATAAGAAAAGTGAGACTTTGTTATAAGAGACACTGACTAGAACAAATTATAGGAAATATCACAGGGATATTCAAGACCCATGCTATCCTTTTGCCTCAACAAAGTGAAAGCATGTACAAATATACTGGCAGACATGGATGGTGTGGAATATCATGTCATTCTGGATGTCAGTTTTACAGGCCCAGGCATCCTGATACTAGACAGGCATCTCAAAAGGTGAGCAAGGGACACTAGACTCCTTTAAGCATATTATTAATATACAATGTTAAAGGATTTTAGTAAGAAACTTGAGACCTTGATTGAAGAGAAAATCTGGAGGATAAAATAGTACCCACAAGTTCACACCATGGCAATAGTAATTATGTATTTTCTGCACATCTCATGAAATCCTAGAACTCTATGTAGAAGACTTCTTCTTGCTAAGGAAAATAAATCCATCGTCAAAATGATAGACACTTTCCTATGATTTCTTGGTTTTAGCCAAAAATAGGAGTCAGTCTGTAGTATCTTCATGGACGAGGTCCAATCTTCAAAGTGAGTATCTAATATAAGTAAGAATAACTCAAATTTGGAGTTAAGAGTAAAGTTTAAACTGAGTTAGAAATCATACAAGTTCAAATCTGGAAAAGGACAAATATCTGATTCTCTTCCTACAATATGAAAGGACAAATGAGTAACAAAGTACTTCTCCCTCTGAAGCCTATCTGGGCAATAAGAAATTCAGGTTCTTTTATTGTACATGTTTATGCCTGAAACTTTGCTCACTATATAAGTGAAAGGACCCAAAGTTGCATTTGTTACTAGCATGAGAACAATTTTGCCCTTGCTACCTAACATTATGGTTCAACATTAGGATCTTAAAAGAACCCCTTAATTATTATGTCATGCCTGAAACAGCCCATATTTTGCCTACTATTATTCCCCGGGGTCAATACTGATGACTTTGCTCATTTGTTTTTGGTTCTATCATCTTTCCCATTCTTTTTCTGGGTAGGATATTTAGACAATGGGAAGTGATTAAATGTACTACATCCTTCTTCATACATCTTCTCCCATATATTTTTTGCATGTCTTCATTTCAACTTATTTACTTTGTTTTTTGGCAACTAATAATGGTCCCCAGCATTTCTAATATGTATGTGGGAACATTGGAATACAAGAAGTCTTCAAATTATATAGTTACTCCATAGTATCATCATTTGTACCATCTCAAGTTATATATATACTTTCACATAGAAAAAAAAAGTTATATATATATATATATATATATATATGTATATATATATACTTTCACATAGAAAAAAAAAGGTTTAATTAAAAATCTTAAACTAATAACTATAACATACGGTGGGATGACCTGCTACAGACCCCACTTAAGGCTCTGTATTGATGCTTTAGTTTATCTGAGCTCATATGTGTCTTGCTTAGTTGATTCCAAAGGTGTTTTTTTCTCTTTGTGTCTTCCTACCAATGTGATTCTCAGAATCTTTCTGCCTCCCCTTCTGGGGTGATTCCATGAGTTGTGACAGTAGGGATTTGATGGAGACCTTCAATATAGACCATTTCTCAACATAAAGTACAGCTGTGGTTCTCTGCATCTGTTCCCATCTGCAACCAGATGAAGCTTCTGTAGTGAAGATGGGATCAGACACTGGTCTGTGAGTACAGCAGTTTATCCTTATGAATCATTTTATTTGTCTTCTTTTTAGACTAGTAGTGATTTGTTTTGCCCTTGGTTTCTATGCTATATAGTCTTTGACACCCAAACAGTGTCTGGTATTGGTTTCTTCTCCTTTAGTGGGCCTTGGTCAAATAAGACACTGGTTCAATATTTCCAGAAATTCTCTGCCACCATTGCTATCCTATATTTTGCAGAGGACAGAGAGTAGGTCAAAGGACTCCTTATTGTGACAATGAATGGGTCTCTGCCTCTTATGCCTGCTCTTGCGTCTCTTTTCATCATGTTGGTTTCCTTGTCCTACCTGATATTGTATGTTTTGCTTCATATAATTATATTTTATTTTGTCATATTTGATTGTTACTTCTAGAAGCCTGTTTTTTTTTCTACTGAGAGATAGAAGGGATTGGATCTGAAAGGTAGGGTGGGAAAGGAGAAACTGGAAGGAATAGTTTGAGGGAAAATTACAATGAGGATACAATTTATGAGAAAAGAACCTGTTTTCTATAAAAAAATTCAAAGGAAAAACAGGAAAAACTTTTTTAAAATGTGTGCTTCCTAGTATAAATTACCACATGATACCATGCAGATAATTTTATACCTAATAGGATACAACCACTGCTTTCTCATCATTTCTGAATTTCCTTTGTAAATATTGGGGATACTAGGACAACCTGACTCTTCTCTAATACTCTGATTGTTAAGGGAGAATGATTTTTGAAACCTAACAATTTCTAAGTTAGAAATCAAGGTGTTTATTTTTTCTGAACAGTAATTGCAAATGCCTTTAGTCCCAGCACTATGGAGACAGAGACATGCAAATCTCTGAATTTGAGGCCAGGTTGGTCTACAGAGTGCATTCCAGGATAGCCAGGGTAACACAGACAACCCTATCTCAAAATCCCAAAACAAAATTGCTTTTTTGTTGAACTATAATAACATCACTTTCCCAGCCTTTAGCTCCTCCCAAATTCCCTCTCTCCCACTCGTGTCATAACCTTATTCTCAAGGTGATAAGCATCTTAATTTTTTAATATCTTTAGATCCATGTGGTTGTGTGTCCTGTAAATACAGACCACTGATTCCCCACTAAAAAGACTCAACTACTTTCATGTAACTTCTTCTTTATCCCTTATCAAAACAAAGAGTGTCTTCATTTAAAAACATATCCATGCCGTCACCCACTATAATTATTTATTATGAAGCACAACCTAACATATAATTTTAGTGAAAAAATGACATTAGAAGTTAATATATAAAATTCTGACTAATTCACAGCTATTACACTTTCAATTATACACATGGAAATATAGAAGTAAAGTAAAGCAACATTGCATATAAAGAAATGTCTCAACAAAGTTTGATCTGTGAGAACTGAGGTCTAGGTCAGTTTTAGAAATATAATATGTAGTTTATATTTTACATTTGTTCATGAGACAAATTGCCTATTTTGACCTAAAATTAGATGATAAAAATGTTAGTGAATTCTTTTTGGAAACTATTGCCTAGGAAACATATTAGTATGACTTAATGAGTATTTTCAATTTTACAATGCACATTCCTGAACTTTTGAAAAGAATTTCTCTCAGGTCTTAACAAAATAATGAAGCACTTTGGGGCAAAGATGCAAAGAAGCAGCCCTGCACTGGAGGCCAAAATACAGAAGACCTCCACGGCCACCATAGCCTTCCCTTTGGTGCTGTGGTAGACAGGAAGGAAGGTGATCCAGACACTGCAGAACACCAGCATGCTGAATGTCAGGTACTTGGCTTCATTGAATGTGTCAGGCAGATTCCTGGCCAAGAATGCTGCAGTGAAACTTCCCATGGCAATGAACCACAAGTACCCCAGGACACAATAGAAGACAAAAATTGACCCTATGTTACAGACAATCAAAATATGGCCCTTTTCAGCATACACATCAGCCTCAACAAAGGGAGGATAAGTACCCAGCCAGATCCCACATAGAATCATTTGAATCATGGTACAAATTGGAATGATGAGTTTAGGAGCCCCTGACACAAGCAACCACCTCATCCTTCTACCTGGAGTAGTAACTTTGAAGGCCAGTACTACTGTAATTGTCTTCGCCAAGACAGCAGAAGCAGCCACAGTGAACACTACTGCAAATATGGTCTGCTGCATGAAGCATGTGGCCATATTGGGTTCGCCAATGAAGAGCAAGGAACAGAGAAAGCAAAAGATGAGGGAGATGAGTAGAACATAGCTGAGAGCTCGGTTATTGGCCTTGACTGTGGGAGTGTCCTTGTGCTTCAAAAAGACACCAAGTATTATACCTGTAAGAATAGAAAAGCATAGAGCCAAGCAGGCTAGAGACATTCCCAAAGGGTCTTCATAACTCAGAAATGTCACAACTTTTTTGAGACAGTGTATTCCTCCAGGGTTGGCATACTGATCATCTGAGCATTTCACACAGTGATTCATGTCTGGTACAGAAATAAAGTAACATCAGATTTAATATTTGTTGGTTACTCACAAAACATGTTCTATGAATGTATGAGAATTTTTTGTCAAATTAGCCTTGTTTTTGGTATTTGTATATTGTTTAAGAATTAATAGTGACTCCAAAATCTCTTGTCCTCATGAAAATAGTGCAAATTAATAATTTATATTTTCATGCATATAATAAGACATTTTTATTTCCTTACCAGAAGTGATTAGCCTGCCAGATAATATTCATGCTTCCATAATAAAATATGTTAGTGAGGATAATATAGTAATACATATTTATTCTTAACATTCCTGTATTTAATGAAATGCAAGATCATAAAACCCACTTTTTTCATCTGTATTTTGATATGTCTATTACCTACAAGACAAGTACTACATACCAATGTCCTCATGTAACTGCTTGTTTGTTGGAATACAATGAATCTCATATATTATTTAAAAGCCTGCATGAACAATGTTAGGGAAAGCAGAGGCTTCATAAACCTTTTAGCACCTATAGTCTCTACATAGTAAATATATCAAATTTACTATTAGATTTCAATATATGAATTTTAGTAAGAAGCAGTATCTATTAGTTTTATGAATATCTGTAATATTGGACTGTCAATACTCTCAATAGAAGTATTTTATTGAGAAAACAACATAAAAATGATGTTTTCCCATCTCTTAAGGACATAGATAAGGCACATAATTAAGGATAGATGGAAGAGTTTCCTTCCACCCTACATAATGTAATTTGTGACTTCTGTGTTTAATTGAATGAATATAACAGAAAAAAACTTGAAAGTAATAATATTATTCCAATAAAGAGGCTTTACATTCATGACTGTACATTCCTTACAAATTATTTATATTCTCTCATATTTTAATATGTGATATTATCTAAATTGTTGGACAACATTATTTACCTTTTTTCTAATCATTTTAATAGTACTTGTTATAAAATTTTTATTTCTCTATTTTAAAATACATATAAGCAATTACCAAAAATTTAAAATTATTAGTATATTACTTTTGTATTCAACTACTCAAAAGGATATATTTAAAACACAATTTTCATCAATTTATTTTCCATTCAGTATTCCATACAACTTTTTTCTACAGTATTCATTTATTTCCCTAAAAAATGTTTAACATATGAATGGAATTATTTGTTTCCGTACTCTTCAAGCATTTATAAATTTATTATGTTCATATTGTATGGAGCAATTTACATTCTGGTTTGTAGATTAAATGAAACAATACATTTTTATTTAGCTATGTGTCATCACTCAAGAAGAGCGTACTCCCAATTTTTAGTTACCTGTTACATTAAACATAAGATCACTATCCAATGTTCTATGAAAACCTTGTCACAGAGAAAATATCCCCACCTATTCAATTGAAAAGTTTAACTTGATACTTGTTTTCATTATGAAAATAAAAGTTTGATTTCCAATTCTATATGCCGGACTTCAAACTCATCTGTAGACTAGTCTGCAAATCAAAGTACAAACTATGAAGTGACTGCATTATCTACTGTAAGACACACTACAAAAAACATGTCTCTCGAGCATGATGCATCATTTATAATCATCTACAATTCATCAAAAACCTCATAGGATAAATGAAAATAAGGATGTGCATCTCCAATGTCTTAGAAAAGAAGAAATGTAAATGTATTATACACAGCTGAATTTCAGGCAAAGGATAAATATTACAGTGATGTTTCGCACTCTTAATTAGTTTACAAAAGAAACTATTTTGTAGAGTTGCTAGAATAAGGTTTCAAAAATGTAGTTCAGGATACCTGCTGTACTACTATTGGGTAGATTTATTGATTCATTTAATTCTCCAATATGATTTATCTTATCAATTTCCATAAAAATCATTGAGATTCATTTAAAAATGGTAGAAATAAATTAATATGATGAATCCTTTGGTATGCTATATACTTACCTGTCATGTTGGAAATTTCATTCTCTGGGCAAGGGGTACAATCAAAACAGCAGACTGCCTTCCCTGGCTGAGAGGATTTTCTGAATCCTGGACTGCAAGGCATATTGCATATTGAAGATGGAGTCTGAGAAACATCATAAAAGGGACTATAAAGGAAAAAGTTTACATACTTGGGAATAGTTACAGTGATTTAGAACACTGCACCATCGAAAAACATCATTTACACACATGCACTGAATAAAATGCACCATTTTTTTATTTTGTGATTATATTTTGTAGATGTACTGTGATTTATATAGTGAGAAAATTGTATTTACATATGTGTGTTTATTTTATATAATCGATATAATTTATATATCTATGCATACATAGATATATAAATATATAGATATATGAAAATTTATACTGCTGAAAAAATATATTCTCACAAGAATGTGGTATGTGAGTTAGTGTCTATATTTGAAAATATTCTAACCCATAATGCTCAAGGCAATCTTGAGAATTTTGGTACTTATGGTGCATGTAGAGTTTTACAATACCAACACACCTGCCTAAGGTTTATGTTCCACTCTATCATCTCTTCAGACATATACAATTGTTGACCACGTGGCAAATGTTTGGAAAACTTTCCTACATTCACCTTAAGTCCAACATTTGGCACAAAATCCATAGTGTAGTGAATGTTGTATTCTACATCCCGGTTTTCTTTCTGGTTCATGTTCACTTGGTCTCCAACAGGGTTAATAAATTGAATGTTCTTCAGGAAATGAACCATCTGAAACATTTATTATTTTAGTTTCAATTATGCCTATGCATCTAGAACAGATATATGAAGTTTAGACTGCCTCAATTTTAATTAATCTATCTATAAATGTGGCCTAATTCTTAGTATATATATATATTAGATTGAAAAACCCACATATGTGTAACACTAACTTTATATTTTGACAATACCAGCTACTCACTTCGGTTAATTCTTTAACACTTGCCCACATGAATGAGTAGTTAGACATTACCTACTTTATCTCTTCTAAATGGTACCTGATATGTAATTGAGGTCATCTATATGTTAATAAATATGGAAGTATTCCTTGCTCTTATTTAGGGCATATTCACTTAATTAATCACCAATGTTTTGATCACTTAAATACCAATTAGTTTCTCCTGGGGTTAAATATTCATGAGAACCACTTTTATATGTTTCAGATATTTTAAACATGAGATGCATATGTGGTAGAAACGTTATGGGAAATATTGGCTTAGATCATGATGATCTGGGTCTGTGTCAATGTTTTTTGCATTAAACAATATCACCAAAAAATTCTCATGAAATTCAGTACAAGGGTACAAAAATTTGATTTATTTTTATACAAAAGACCCTGGAATTCTTAGATAGAACACATGTTGTCCATTAAGAAAATTATACCTATGATAATACATTACCTTCATTGAAATATGTATTACCTGCCAAGAGTCAAATTCCAGACTTTTCTCAGAATTCTTTGGCCATATGTTTACTTCTTGCAACAGCATCTTATGGAGTGCATGTGCCACAGCATGCACAGTATTGTAAAGGACATAACCTGTACCACTCACAGAAATTTCAAAATAATGTTTGAATAACCAATGCAATCGTGTTTCCATTGAGCAATTCTTCAGATTCTTACAACCAAATGATGACAAAGAACAATTAAAATATAGCCAAGATAATTTAGAAAGGTGAACACCATTTTTGTATTTGGAAGGAGCTGCTGTTATGATAAATGTATTAAAACCAGATAATTCATGATGGTGATTTAAAAAAGTAAAGGTCCCATAGAAGGAATCAATAAGGAATCTGTCATTTTGTGTGATCCAGTCCCACTGTTGGGTAGTAACCCATATTCTCTGAATGTATGCTAATTTGTAAAGTCTAAGATTGAATTGTAGATAAGAGTCTTTGTCTCCATAAATGATAACAACTTTTGCTGATGACATTGTGATCTCATTATAATACATGTTTGCATTTTTCTGGAATAATATTTTGTCCTCCACAATAATATGCACAAAGGCTAAGCACACACTATTTCTTTGCATCTCTTTTCTCAATTCCAGGAGAAACTCAAGTCCTAGGTCATCATCTGAAATGATTGCTCCAACCCAGTTCCACCTGAAATATACCACCAAAGACACCATGGCCAAGGCCAGAGATGTGTCCTTAGGAGCTATCTGGTATAGATGTGGAAACTGTTCATGTCTGCTCAGGAGAGGATGAAATGGTCCATAGTAAAGCTGAGTGTCAAAGAATATAAGCAATAAATTGAAGAAGGTTAAATGTATTATGAACAGTCTAAAACTATGTGTGCACATCAAAAGCTGGGAAAGTTAGAGTATGTGGTTTTCATCTCATTATTAAATCATATTTAATTTATTGTGAACATCATTGAAAGTACTCATGAACTCAGTCTGCTAGTAAAACTGCACATTTCTGCTCTTCCTGAAGTCTATTTGGGGGTAAATTAGTGGCATGTGCCTTTAAATTAAGCACATAATGCTTTAAATTCTATGCTTTAAGTTCAACATAAATCCATTTTTTTTCATTTCAGTCTGCATTGTAAGGAAAAAAAGAATGGAAGGAGCAAGTTTTCATAAATACCAATCTACTCAACCTTACCTCTGGTCTATTTGTGATGTACAGGAGTGGTCCAAGAATAGCTGATGATAACCATATTGGTCCTGTAAGTACGATTAAATATCTTCTCTGATTTACACAGCAGTAGTTAGGAAGAATTTCACCAATTTTTGCAGATAACCTATTCATCCTCCAATCATCAAGTAGCCCACATTCAACTTTAACAAGCAGAGAAATGTTTGGCAGAATGTGAGAGTCCTTGTTGACATCTTCAAGTGCAAAATAAAGAGATAAAATCAAGTGGAAATTCTTATCTGTCAACCTGAAAAGAGAGGAGAGATATCATTAAGGAATGGGCCCCAAACATGATAATATTAAATCACAATAATAGTGTTTATATATTTAATGCCTATTTTCTTTTCCCATTGCTATGGTTACACAAGTCTTGTTACTGTGCTCCATGAGAATGTGAGATCTCTGCAATTAAGTAAAGATATTTTTAAAAGGATTTGAGATGGAGTCTTTCATGTGGGATGCTTTGATTTTTTAACTTTCATACAGTTTTAATTGTTATCTGTGAGTATGATGAGAAAGAGATCCTAGAAGTCATTAAATCTAATTCTTTTATTTTAGAATGTTAATAAATAATATACATGGAAAATAGGTAGGTATTATCTGCTACTTAGACAGTGATAGTTTTAAACAAGTAACAATGGACAAATGTATGCATCAATTGTAAATACAGGGAATGAGTAGCCAGATATATCTGTATCACCAGCATGGAGAATCTTTTCAACTCATTTATTATTGCAGGCAGCATAATTATCCTTACTCTTTCTCTCAAATTCATGTACCCTTGCATCATTCCATTCATTCGATACTGTATAATCCATGGCGATATGCTATTGATTATAACAATGACACTTTATTATGGGGACTGAGCCTTCTCTTCACATGGTTCCTTAGATTATATCATGATCCATTTAATTTTTATTCATGAACCTGAACATCTTGCTCATGGCCCTATATTCCTAATTTAAAAAAAAGTCTGTATTTTTTTCTAGTGTTCTTTCGTTCATGGTGGGATATATGGATGTATAATGATGATGTCTCCAAGTTAAATGTGAATTCTCCAGTTAAAGCAGTAGTGTTACTATGCTGGGAAGTTAACCTTTCAAATAACAGAGATTTTAGCTTTCCAAATAAAGTTTTAAAGTTTATACTTATTTTCATATGAAATCAAGTGCTCAATTTCCTTGAAGTCTTATTATTCACTCATTTCATAATTTAACATTTCAATATCAAATCTTTAATGATTTAGTGGTATTTATGTAATATCTTGAAATGTAAAGAAGTAAAATACATCCAATAAGCTACCCTTTCTTTCATCAGTCATTCAAATTACAAGTTTTAGTGAATAATGGAAGCCACAAAAATGTCTTTGCTTAGTCACAGATATTCTGATTAGGGAAGTCGTTGGAGGATTTGGCACATATGTGTTCTGATTTAAGACACCAGAAACAAAGACCTGCTAATTTAACTGAAAATTATAATAATCAGGACAGGAACTGGGTAGACAACAATACTTCTGAGGAATTGCATTTGTGAAAACTGTGGATGCAAAATGTTAGTCCAGTATATTGAATAAATTCTTCAATTCAAGATTGGAACTCTTACCAAATGTTTCATTTAAATACTCTAATTTTCACAAAATTAATTTCTAATGTTCTACAAGGCCTGTGCAAACAAATATTGATGAGGTTTATCATATATCTACATTTGACACATTTAAATATGTTTATGACAAACAATATTCACAGGGCCATTTCTTCATGGATCAAATACAAATGCAATTACACAGTTGGTAAATAATTTTTTTAAATTAAAGATATAAACAAAAACAAAGAAAATGTTAAAGAATGATTTATGCAGTTATGTATTCTAAATTGTGAGGATAAATGCAATCATTCCAAACATGACTCAGGTAATTATGAATACTAAATGTTAAATTTTGCTTATGAACAACAGAGGTTGAAAATGTTTTAAATTACGTGTGTCAGATATAAGATTTTCTAGCAAAGATTTAAAATATTGTTAGTAAGAATTTAGGCAGAATGATTTCCCACAAAACCAGTAAAATTTCCACAAGATATACATTATATATATGTATACATATATTAAACATGTATTTCTTGTATTATAGCTGTGTTTTACAATTTCAAATTTAATTCTGTCACTATAAAATTAGATCTCAATTCAAAATTTCACAAAAACACGTGTAGACAATTTTTGCATAATTATTTTTTCTACAACTTCATTTTCTTGTCAACTATTATGTTGTGCGTTTAATCATAATAGAAATGTCTCAATATTAGTATGAAAAGGACCATGCTGACTATATTCTGAATAATGCAGATTTTGAAACATACTTCTATAATATTTTATAAAATAAATATAATCTTAGAAGAGTATTACATAAAAAACATTTTTTAATGGGTATCCAGTTACATAGGGGAAAATCAAGGAAATAATTGATACCATAGAGCTAATTTTTACCTCTGTTGTACTTATGTCTACGTAATCTGTTTCTTATCTTTACAAATATTCTACTAATTTTACCTAGAGAGATCAGATCAATGATGACTGTGTCCATATGCTAGTGAGATTTAAGAAGATTTAAAAATAGGAATTGCAAATTTTTTCATGTCTACTCCCAAGAAGAGAGCTTCTGCCAATTTTAAAAACAGTATAACCTCAAACTAGGCACATAACCAAACATTGCCTAGTTGAGAAATGATTTTCTCATTCAAAAACTTCTGAACCTTCTCTTAGGCATTTTTCATATTTTTTTGATATTTTTCACTCCTGAGTCATGTCTTTCCTGTTCCATTTCACTGGGTAAACAGGACTTGTCAGTGTAACAAATATGTGCTGTCACATGGTAAAATTCCTCATTGTCTTTCAAAACCATGGTTAGGTTTTACAACTAAACCAGTTTCACTATAAGTTTAATCATTCTTTTATCCTTGAAAATTTCTCTCATCTCCATGGTCCAAAACTTCCTCCTCTGCTATGAATTCACCTTCATCCATATGCTATTAATAAATGAACACAAGTTTTGTCTCTAACTGTAAAACATCACTTACAGGTAATACAATAAACATCTTGCACAGTGTTCATTAACAGTTATTTCGAGTGTTATTTGTGACAGTTTGCTTAGGATGCTGCAGAAGACATTGCCACAGTTTCCCAAACCAATGATCAAATCATCAATAATAAAATTGAATTATGGTCAAACGTACACATCTATACTGTGCATTTAGACTATATAAACACACGCTAAATAATTAAGGAAACAAGAAACACATATGGAATAAGTGCCAGAGATTAAAGTTCTACAGCAGAGATTCAAGAAAGGAAAATATAAAATCAGTAGTGAAAAAGTGATCAAATTTGTGAGTTTAATCACATTCTTTCAAATAGTTGTAGCTGCTATAGGCAACAACTTTCATTGTAGCAATTGTCAAGGCAAATATGAAGTCACTATTTAGGGTGACATATCCTCCTTAACAGGTATACAAACTATATTCAGCAATTGTATAGATAGCTGTTATACATGAGATAGTTATAACTTAAAAAAGGAAATTGCATTGTCAATAAAAAGGAATGTAGCTATACATCTGATCAAGTGAAACAAAGTTTAATGGAAATCATAAAATTACCACAGTGAACTATCTTTATGTCCTATACTTGATTTCAGCTGGAGGAATTATACAGCACAGCAGTTATGAAATGGTACCATAAACAACATTTCCATAAAAGTGAAGTATTCTATTAAAAAATGTACCCATGAAGCTGGACAGAAATACCAAAGACCTCTCTTTACAGGAATAGGACATTTCACCATGATAGAACACTAGCAAACTAGAGATAGAAAGTTTACTCAGCCTCAAAGAAATGTACTCATGACAGTGCTTTGGATTATGTTTCTCAGGAACATCACTTGACAGAACACAGTGGAAATTGCCACTATTCAGGAAATTACTCTTGAAGAAAGGTAGACAGGGGGTATCATTCAGCTTCTAACCAAAATTATGAGTCTAAAAGAATGAACCAGATGACTCCTAAATCATCAGAAATTAGGAAATAATCAGCTTAAAACAAAATGATATTGGTTATTTCCTAGATAGTAAGGTAGGGGGAAAAGAGAGAAAACATGGAGAATCACCATTTGCCTATATATAGACCTTCTATATAGTACTCACTCAATCAAAAAAAATAAATAAAAGGCACTTACTTTTCATCTAAATTTCTTTTGAAATGTTCATTATTCACGTGACCATGCTTTGTGTAAATAGAAAAAAAACAATCAATATATTTATCTCCACTCCATGATTCTAGGTCTTTGGTTCTCATAAAGCACCTGGGACCAGTTAAACTGCAGAAAAGGAAGGAAAGCTCCAAGACCAAAAAGAAAATTGTGAAGTAGAACATTTTTCTAATGTCACCAAAATGAGAAACCTGGCAAAAGAGTAACAAGTAGAGTTAAATAGAAAACCACTTTCAAATGTTCCTGTACACTCATCAGTGTCTCTTTTTATTGCTGCAGCAAATTATGAGTGCATTTATATTTCCCAAAACCTTTTTCTTAGCTTATTGTTCCCTGGAGAAATCATAAGCATTATCATTCTTTGGGCTCTGCATCTGAGTTTTATGCCCAGGTGCAAGAAAATTTCAGTAATTACATTTAAGGATCAATTTCTCTTCCACATTCCTGTGGTTCCATTTGAATTAGTGGATAAGAAGGCCCCAGGCTAGATTACTCCTGAGATAATTAGATAATAGGTCTAATTCACAAAATGTTTCTCATCAGAATATGAAATACTCTTCATGATTTCATTTTTCTTGCTCTCTGAAATGTAATCCACTGTGTAATGTAGCACATTTTTAAAACTGTTCATCTATTGATGTTCATAAATCATATTTCCAATTTCTTATTAGTATTAACATTACAGGCATGAAGAAGGATGATAACATTTCTGTAGTAGGATGTTCATTCCGTTGAATACATGCTCAATAGTTTTATAGTTGACTTTTGAAGTAGATTATGTTGAACTTTTTGAGAAACCTCCTCATTGGTTGCCATAGTGACTGCTGAAATTGTTTTTCACTTCCCTCAGAGATTTATAAGTTTTATACTTTCCCTGAATCCACCCAAGCATGTACTATTATTTGTTTTATTGATCTTGACCATTTTGACTGGGATAAGAATAAATATCCAAGCAATTTTCATTTGGCATGATATGACACACAAGAATCGAAGCCCATTCTGCTTTTCTTCTGGGAACTTCTTCACTCTCAGTTATGGCACAGTTCTCAACAAAGAAAATGTAATTATACTTAACTGAGGCACCGCCTCTTTCTTATTCTCCTTCTCACATTCTTGCACTGGCCACCAATAAACCTAGAGTGACAACTAGGGTACTCTGAGACCATTTTGGTCTGACATTCCTATTCTCAGCCAGATTTAGAAATGTTCTGAACTAGTGGTTTTCTATTTGCTTTCCTTCTCAATAGATCTATTATAAGATTGGGTTTGTGAATTTTCCTTTTGAGGTCAAATCAGCCTAACTGAATATATTTGTGTCATGAAGAAAGCTAAGTTTCACTTTTGCAGATCATGAATGTGTCTAAATGGAACAATGCTGAATTGGGTCACACTTCAATTAAGTCACTCTCATGGAACCAGATCTCTCCTGGAAAATGTGAAAAAGGAGAAATTTGCCACCATTAAGGAACAACGTTTTATTCAGTTTTGCACCTCTCTATTAGGAACAATGATGGTTTTCAATCTGTCTATTCCTTCCGGATACTTCTAAAATATTGGTATAAGTTTGAACCTGATACTCTAAAAATATGAAACTAATTTCTCCTTTAACAGAATTTGGTTTATATTTGAAACAAAAATTCAGGCCACTGAATGCCAAACTGAACTATGACACTGTCATATAAGTAGATTATATTAATTGATCAATTTTGGAAGGGACTCAAGGTAGGGAATTCTTGATCAGTTTAGGAAAGGACCCTAGGTACAGAATTCTTGATCTCATAATAGGACATTGAATTATAAGACAAATGCTGCATTTTCCCTACTAGATTCTCTTAAACCAGATCACCTTCCTTATAGTTAACCCTAAGTAACATCCTCAAAATTTCTGCCTTTGTTCACATTCAAACCTCATTCAATGCTTAGCTAGGGACACTGTACTCTTTTTACCACAGTATTGGAAAGAATGTCCAAGAACTTTGGTAAGAAACTTGAGAGCAAAAGAAAAATCTGGAGGATAAAATGTGTATCAAGCAACTTCATACCATAGTTATAGTAATTATGTATTTCCTGCACATCTCAGGAAATCATATGTTTAGAAAACATCTTGTTCAGTCTAAGGAAACACATACATTCTCTAGATGAGAGATGAAGCATTAATCTAATTAATCTTTATCAATAAAAAAATCAGGAATCAAATATCAGCACAAGATTCGGAAAGATCAACAAAGCAGGGTGCAGCCATCGGTCTCCTCTTACTTCTTCCATTCCTCCATCCAAAAGGACCAAGATCCTCCCTCAGCCCCACCTTACTTCTTTCTGTCTCCTCTCTCTACAGTCCTCCAAACCACTATGGTTAATTTTGGTCAGTTAGTTGACAGCTCTACCCTCTGATTCCAAGCAAGCTTTATTTGTTAGAACACAATCAAAATATCACACAACAGAGAGATGTTTTCCTATAATCATTGTTCTAACAAAAACTTACAAATCATTGTATAATATGTTATGGGGGAAGTTTCAATCTTCAAACTGATGTTCCACTGAAAGTAAGAATGTTTCAATTTTGGTGTGAGTGAATGGTATACATTAATGTAAGAAAATCATGCTAAGTTCAACCTGGAAAAGGATAATTATATCTGACTCTATTCCTGGAATATTAATGGGGAAATAAAGCCAAGAAGGGACAAGTTTCTTTTTTTCTGTGAAGGCTAATTGGGCAGTTTCAAATTGAAGTTCCCATACTTCACATTTATGACTATGACTTTGATAGCTATATATGAAATGAGTTAAAGTTGTGTTCATTACCAGAATGAGAACAATTTTTCCCTTCCTAACTCTCTGTCTTCGTTTGAAATACTGTTCTGTAGTACAATACTTAAGTATTTATGTCAACCTCAAACCATCCATATTTTAACCCCTCTTATATTAGGGTAGCTTCTTCCCATTATGTTCATTCCTTTTTAGTCCTACTATGTTACCCATTCTTTTTCTGGGGAGGATATTTATATAGTAGGATGTTAGGAAATGTACTACAAGTTTTCCCCTACCTTGTTTTATATATAAATTTTCTGCATTTCCTCCTTCTAACATGTTAACCTGTTTACCAATAATCACCTACAACCTATTACAGATTCTAATATGTGAGTGGTTTGGGGAACATTCAGTCTAGCTTCATGTATTACCTGTTTCCAACTAAGTCAGAAAAAAATTAATTTCTCCATAGTATCATCATTTATATCATCTCAAGTTCTAGTACACAGCTGTTGTCCCAAATACAATTTAATTTTTATGTAAATTCCTGTTTGTCCTAATCAAAAATAAAGATTCTTCTCCATTAAACAGATATTTTACATTCCTCCCCTTTACATATTCACTACACAAAACAGCTATAACACATACTAGTAAAAATAGAAGCTAAATTATACAACTCAGACCAAGTCACAGCTTGTTAAAAGGAAAATGCAAACTCCCTGTATCTTACCAGAAGAAAGAGCCATCTTCTGATATGGGACAGGAGAAAAAAAATAAATGAAGGGACTGTTCTGTTACTACTAATCTCAATTCTTTGATTCTATTCTGATTCTTTAAATGTTTCTTAAGGTATGAATTTTATATCCAATTTTACAAGAATTATATATATATATATATATATGTGTGTGTGTGTATTAAATTTTGTTAAGATATTAATAGTTATATAGAGTACTAACTAATTCTAGAACAAAGTCTTCAATTAGCTGTCTATGCATGTCTTGTGTTCGAGTTTCTATCAGTTTTGTGCAGGAAATCACAACCAGGCCTAACATCAAATTGAAGTCTCCAGGAAGAAGATGGGGCCCCACACCTACAACAACAACAACAATTCCACATGGACAATAATAATACAACTAAGCAGAAAAACATCATCTACATATCAGCTTTGGACTGCAAACTGTTCAGAGCAATTTTGAGATAGCTAGCTGAGATTATCCAGTTTTACACACTACTGTGAATAAGGATTTGAAATAAGACCTGATCTTTGGTTTAGCATTATGAACAGAATGAGCAACAAAGAATATAGCTACCTTTCCTAGAATTTGACAATTAACCCAAATTTTTTCTTTTCGGAATAAAGATGTCTTCGCCCATATCCGGCAAGAAACAATTTTAAGAAAATGACTCCCACATCCCAAAAAGGTGATGTGGTGGAGGAGGAGGGTTGGGTCGGGGGCTGGTTGTTTAATGGGTTTTGGTTCTGAGATAATTTTCTTTATTTAGCAGGGTTGGTTACAATTTGTTGTTAAGGCTTAGAAAAAGGGCTAAGCAAAGGAGATTACAATTAAGGTTCTTGTTTTTTTTTTTTAAAGTTATATAGAAATGGTAGGATAGAGGGTAGATTATTGAATCTACTCTGAAAAGTAAAGAAAAGATATAGATACTATATAGATAAAAAGATAGTTTATTGAATCTACTTTTAAAAGACAATTACTAGTTTTAAATATTTTACATTGGATTGGATTTTTGTATATTGTGTACAAATTATATATATTGATATTGTTATTGTTAGAAAATGCTATATTTATTTTTCAAATCTTGTTCAGAATATTGTACATATACAGTTTATTTAACAATGTAATACAGTTTGATAATCCTTGAATGTTATTATTATCAACTTATAGGATATAAAGAAATGAAAGTTAGTAGTTAGACATTACAAATGAAATTGTAGTCATACTAGGTATGTTTTCAAAGTCAAGCAGATATATTTTAGATAAACAGGTCATCATCAAACCTTTCAGAAATCTATAGAATATGGCATTTAAAGTATTTTAATAACTTAGAAATTTTTTTCTTATTTTAAATGACTATGAGACATGTCAGCTCCTGACAGAACCAATATTTCAGAGAGGCATGGGCATTGAAGAAACTGAATATGGAGTTAACATTCATTGTGGCAAAGGTTAACCACTGAACAACAAGGTGTCCTTGAATCAACTGCTGACAACAGGACAAAATGGACAGACAAGACATAATACAAAGGACTACCGATTCTTGCCAAGACAAGTATGGTTGTGGCTTTAGCAACAGGCATCCTCTGAGGCCAGGAAAATATGACACCATTGCTGAAGTGGCCTTTGCACTCTGGAAAAGGTACAGTGCCCCTTACTTCAAGGCAACTGAACTGTCAGTGGAC